TACCTTTGAATCCTTAATGGTTTGCATGCAGACTCTCTACTGGCCATTAGATGTTTAACAATTTGAGAGGAGAATATAATTTGGAAAAAAACCCACCATTATTAGAGTGAAAATATTGTAAGGGGATTTTCCCTTCTTTTTCTCCCCTAGACAGGAAGACTTTATTTTCTAGGTTTTACTAAAAAGATGTAACTGACAGCTTCACAAAACTATTCCCTATACAGCACCCAGATGTCAAATTCTTTCTCCCTGTGAGCAACGATATCAGATAATAGTTTATTCCTCACTGTGATGAGAAAGGTAAAGATTACTAATGGAAATTCTAGCTTTATAGCATCAGTTATCTGAAGGAACATGGGAAAATGTCTGACCCATTTGATGCAACATTCAGGAAACAGTTACTTCCAGTCAGAATTACACTGAATGAATATGAAACGACATCTTCTGCTGTATTTATAGACCTACATTTGACTTTTCTCAGATTTGCAGACAGGGAAAATTAAATGAAAAATGAAAAAGGCATGATTATTTCTTTGCAGTAGAATCAATCTGGCTGAGGTAATACATGGACTATAAATAAGATGCAATACTCAAACAAACATTAAACAGGCATTAGCATCTCAAATCATAAGACTGTTGGGTTTTTTTGCATGATGATGCATGACATCTCTCTCTCATCAAGTCAGAAACACCATTGTTACAGCAGTAAAACAAGGAAGCTGCAAGATTTCACTACGTCTTAAAGCAGACAGAACTGCTGATGAGCAAACTCTATTCTCATGTTAACATAAGGAACCACATCCAGCTACTAAGGGATTACTTCTTGTCTCTTTCCACCCCTCCCTGTTTTCCCCCAAAAGGTATTGTTCTCACCATGGTAATACTCCTCTTTCCTGTCAGGTAATGTTGCAGTTCTTGCATTTACTCAAGCAGTAAGGGCCTGTGTGATTGTCCTCAGATGTTAATTTATCTGCTAACTCAGACACAGAGTCAGTCTTGTAAATGTCATTGGTTTAGCTGTGTTAACGCACCAATTAAACCCCCAAGCACAAACAAGATCACTGCAGATAAATGTTCTACTCCCCGTCATCTGTGTGCAAACTTGTTTACACCCAACAGTAAAGCTTCTTCATATAGTGTACAGAATAGCTTCCTGGTGCACACTACCTTCTACTGTATACTGCTTCGTAATTAAGAAAACCATTGAGGCTCATAAAAACACAAGCCTTGCACTTGCTAAATTTCAGGACATGTTTTGCAATGCTTATTTTTGCATCTCCTACTATGGCTGAAGGTCGCACAGAATTTTAACTGTAAGTCTCAATTCCAGCACATTGCACTACAACAAACTGCAAATGAGTGAACCCATGAGCAAACACAAAAATAACAAGTCCCTCCATAGACTGCAATGATTTAGCTAAAAGCTATGCTGTCAGCTGTTGAACTGCAAGCAGTAAAAAGATGTTTTTTGTGCATGAACAAAGACAGCATGAAGCAAACATCCTACTACCAGAGCACTGTCTGGATTAAGTTAACGCACACAACAACTAAACAGGGTTATTTTCTCTTCATACTACTCTACAGCCTTCCCATTCATTTTGCAAACCAAGTAATGGGCCTTGAAATTAACAGGTTATTTGAGAGATCTCAAAACACTAGCATAGCTTCTAAGAAAACAAGATGATACTTAGCAAGAAAGGGTCAAGGACCTAAACTAGATTGTGAAAATACTTTCTTTCACTGAAAGAATGTAAAAGAAGGGCAATGGCTGGGGCAAAACCCAAGAACTCATAATAATATTCAGCCAGACTATAAGAAACCTCAAGAGAAATGCACTGGGCTCTCCACCTGTACACCCTGTGTACTCTGCCTCTGAAATTGAAAGCATAGGCTTAACCTAAAAGCATCCAGCCAAGGAAAATGAAAGAGAAATGATCCACCATTTCTTACAATCCAAAGCCTGAAACCTGTGTATGCCTTTTGTTTACTGTGGAAGACTGTCCTCACTTCAGTGCATGCCCCTTCCTCCTTTTTGAGCTTCCTCTTTAGAATGGATTAAGATGGCCTTAAATCCAGATGATACTAAAATTTTTTTAAGCCTCTCAGTGGATTCAAACTTCTAGAAGATAGTAAAGCTTGTCTACCCAACTGGACATCCACTTTGTGAAGTCAGTGGTGAGATGAAAACTGCCTTACTATTGGATACAACTACAGTTCTAGTAACAGTGACTCATTTATGCCAAAAATTATTTTTTTGATATTGCAACTTAGTTCTAACCTCCTTGTCTGGTCATGTCAAAGAATTAATCCAAATTTTCACTAAGTTTGTTTTTCAACAGCTTGATGTTAAGTAAAACTGCAAAACACTTATTGCCAAAGCACTTCAACCCATCCCAAAGACCAATGCTCGTATATGAGCACTATCATACGTTAAAGGCTTGGAAGGATATATTTTCTTTAAGAGAAATATCAATACTGAAACTACATGAACAAGGATTTATTTTGTTTCTGCATACAAAATTAGATGAAAATAGCTAATTTTTTTATTTAAATCAGCACTTAGTAACTCTTACTCTATCAGAGTTTTGTGAAAAAGTCAAAACACGCACACAGAGAACTGTAGTCTACTTTCATCCCTCTCCCATTGAATTAAAAGTTTAAGAGATTAAGGATGATCAATAATTTGCATTAAATTCAGCACTAACTTGATGCTGTAATTGCTGTCATCTCCCTTTCACGCCTGCTCTCCTATTAGCTGTTTTCTTCCACCTCAGTTCTCTGTGTATAATAAAGCTTATCTGATATTTTAAGGGTAAAATTGTTCATTTCACCACTTCTAACAAAACAGTGCAACAGTCATACCAGAAGTGTTATGGGATTCTTCCCCTCTGGAACCTCAGTGAGTTTTTAACTACAAAACACAGAAAAATCAAGTGGAAAAAATTCCATGTATATCTGGAATAACCAAAAGATATGAAGGTGAACACACACTGGTAGACCAAATATTTTTAAAGTTGCTTTTAGATTTCCAAACATTTTCATATAAAATAATGAATAAAAATTGAAGTGTATCCCCGTTACATGCAGCCCTTCCCTTTCCCCACCATCACTTGCCTCCTGTCAAAAGTATCTTTAAAATTACACTTCCACTCCTCCTCCCCTCATACCCCAATTGCACATTAAAACATGGACTATAAAGAACAACATAATGCTTCAAGTATGCTTCATGCCAATCATCAATGAGAGCCATAACATTACTGAAAAAGTACACTTATTCTTGGGAAGCCTGAAAATGACTTCCTGCAGAGTGAGGTCAAACATTTTAAATAAGAAAAAAGCTCCCTAACCTGATGTATACCCCACCCTCTCAAAAGAGTAAAGTGTAAAATTTTCTTTGGACTTAAAAGAAACAGCATTAAGATTTAGCATCTGAGTTAGAAGTAACCCCAATAGGAATTTAGTTTTACAGTGCTGCACAAACTGTGTGCATTAAAGAGTAAGTCATACAGATACTACTGTTTGGCTCTACATATACACACTACAAGTGGCATATAAGTTTACACATGACATACTGGCCTGTCCAGAAACAAGATGTATTTTTAAGGCTGGTAAACCTGAATAAACCTTTGCATCCAGAAGTATTTTTAAAATTATTTTCTCTTTTCATTGGGAGATTTGAATTTCTAATAGAAGAGTAATGACTTAATCAAGAAACCATCAGCAATATGAGAGCATGGAGCTTTGATGTGAAACTGAGCACACATTCCCTCATTTGATAAAGCATAAACAAGGATCCTAATTTTAAGAAATAATGGATGGTGTGAAAAAGTACTAATTTTTAAATAAAATAAATTCTTCCGGAAACACAATCAGGTTATTGAACAGATACTAAAACAAAAAAAGCAACAAACAAACAAAAAACAGAAAAAAAACAACAACCAAACAAACCAAAACCAAACTAATCAGACCATATTAACAAACAAAAATGTTATGCAAATAATTTTATGGTAAAAGTGAGTCTGTCACACTGTCAGCAGAGTGTTGAAACTCATAGTAATAAATAGCTCCAAATTAAGAATTTTCTACAACATTTCCTTAGAAGACAGGACCAGTATTTCTTCTTTTACGATGATCCTGCAGAAAACCTTCACTCTTACATATATTTAATTTTATAACATCAAAACAGACATAAGAATGTAGACTGCAAAAGATGCTGGATTCAGGACAGTATACATAACATTTTTTGTTAAATGTCCTACTATTTTATTCACTAAGGCTAGACAGCAAGTCATATGATCCTATTTGGTGCATTTTCTACCATGGTCAAGATCAATAAATGATAGAATCAAGGACCTGTGGTCCAACCTGTTGCAGTCCAAACTGCTGTGGTCCAACCTGCCCTGGAGACAGGAAATAAAATATAGGACCACAGCTTGATCCCCAAGTTTCTGTCTCGTTTCCTGGAACTGCAAAACTGGAAACAAGACTGTAGTGTTTCAGAGAAAGACAGCAAGTAGTGGCATTTTAACATGAATAAGGTTACTAGGCTTGTGATAGTCCTGTATCAAAAGAGCACATATGGGATCCCACTACTTGCAGTATCTGGTAGTGTCATTCAATGACTCATTGACTTTAGAATACATGTATATAATAATAAATAGATCAGTTATGTAATAAGGCAGTGTGTTGAACATGCATTCACCTTGTGGGTTGGAACACCACAGAGAGATACATGATACCATACACATTCAATAAGACCAAGTAATTTTGTTTGTTTTTCAAGGCTATCCAGGCAAACTCTTTCAGAGCATTTTCTTTTTGAGAAGAGTGATTCTTTTGAGTCTTGTCACTTTTCCTCTCCCTTATCAAGAGATGATGACTGGCTTTAAGGAAAAATAAAGCTAACGAGGATTGTTTTTTTCCCCCACCCTCATTTTGGTTGCACCATTCTGAATGTTTCACTTAAAGAACAGTTTCTGATGCAGCCAGATGCTGAATCCTCAGGAGATTCCAGATGTTTCCAGATAACTCTGTAGTTTACGGACTGTGGTTTTATCCAGTGAGCAAAGATCAAAGTCAAAGGTTGTATTTGTGATATGAAAATGTCCGGTTTCTTCTATAAGATTTACTATCTGAAAGGAAAGAAAAGATGCAGTTCAACATTTTAGCAGTTTTACATGTCCGCTGTATGTACTAACATGCCACTAACATATCAAAGGCATAAACCAAGCTTAACAGCCCCAATACTTCCAGGTTAAACCATTACCTTTATTACTCAGTTCCTTTCTTTTATTTTACTTTTATTTTTAGATTACTGTCAACTACAATGCCAGCCTACCCATCTGCTGCTCCATTAAACATTACTATTGAGAATATATTTTTCAAATATTGAAACAAAATATATCAGGCTTTAAACAAAATTAGAAGAAAAAAAAAGAAGTAAAAGAGAGCAACAGTCTCCTCGCCCATCCACCCCAAGCTGAAACAAATTTGAAAAACCCAGGCAGATCTCTGCTTGGAATATGTACTGTGTGCGTAGGTGCTAAGCAGGTTACTTTAGAAAATAATTGGCATAAGCCTTTCTGAAAGCAAAGGAAATAAATCAATCCTCATAGAAGATCAAAGAAAAAAGCATTCAAGAGCTTTCTTATCAACTGCTAGTTCACAAACTAGCAGGTACTTCTTGAATAACAGACATATAATTTCTTTAAACCAAATCAGCTATGAAAGATTCCTCCCAATGGCATAAGATCACATCTGATTACCATTTAGTCTACAATAACAGCTTTCCTTCAAGAAGGAAAGAGAAGAGCTGTTAGGAGTTCTTCAGAAGAATAGGGACTAAAATATCTCTCCTATGAGAACAGGCTGACAGAGCTGGGATTCTTCAGCCTGGAGAAGGCTCAGGAGAGTTGTTCCCAATGTGTCAAACATCTGAAGAGAAGGTGCAAAGAAAGCAGAGGCTCTTTCTCAGGGGTGCCCAGTGACAGAATTGGGAACACTGGGAACAAACTTGAAATACAAGAGGTTCTCTCTGAACATCAGGAAACACTTTTTCTTGTGAGGGTGACCAAACACTGGTGAAGGTTGCCTGGCAGATTGCAGGGTCTCCATTCTTGCAGATATCCAAAAGTCATCTGGACACAGTTCTGGGTAACTGCCTCTATGTGTCCCTGCTTGAACAGGAAGAGGTCAGTACAGATGACCTCCAGACATCCCTTCCAACCCCAATCATTCTGTGATTCTGAGAAACCAACATTACACACCTAACTTGTGCCTTTCTGCAGGTTTGATGTCATTAGTCTCTGAGTGGTAATCCACATTTTTAAAAAGTGGTCATACTCAACACATACTCAATTGCTGTAAAAAGTAACTACAGATATGTTAAGCCCTAAGTGCACCTACCTAAAAAACCCATTCCAAATCTTGGAAAGCCAAAGTATTATTTCTCAGATAGGGCTAACACAGTACCAACACACTATGGCTATGAATCTCTTATGAGCTGTTTCATTCCAATAGAGAGACATCCCAAGTGAGTACACAGAAAGGCACCCACTACTGAAGGGGTCCTCTAGGTAGTGTCCTGGACTGACAGAACATTGCCCTTCTGTTTCAGTCTCTCTCCAACCATCCCTTCTATGCACTGAGGCTAGGCTTAATGTCCTGTTTGCACCCTTCAATTTGAAACCCATTTAGTTCTTCTAGGGCTTACACAAACACTGCCATTGAAACACTGCTGTTAGATACTCCTTGCGTGTTTGAGGCTTATTCTGACTGTTACTCCTCAACAGCTGCAGGAGATACATACATAGGAGCATGTGGTTTACAGAATATACCTTAAAATTACTAATCTTGTAGGAATATACCAACTCAGAAGAATTAAATAATTTTTTTATAATGTTCTCCTCCCTGTGATGTTTTTTCCTCCTCAGACCAGACAAGAAGAGACTATGACAAATGAAATAACTTCATGTGTATTGTCAGGCATGGGATCACACAGCTCAGGGTGGATTAAACAGAATGGAAACCAGATAAAATAACAAGGAAAATGCTTGTTACAGCAAAAATCTCCCATTCCAATCACTTCCTATTTCCCAGATTGAAAAAATATAAAAGTAAAATCTGTTTATCTTCGTTTGCAGCTGTGCAAAATTGTGGAAGTACTTAGGAACAAACCTGCTCTTTTCAACACCTCATTTAAATCTGGGCCTCTAGGCTTTTTTTCCCATATGGGATTTTTTAATGTAACATTGCCCACTTCATTTGTCCACTTCTTGACTCACAGATTCTTGTAGCACTTTTCCATCTCCTACTGTTATTCAATTAACATGAGAGGAAAAATAATCAAATGGGACAAAACTGATTGTTATCAGAAGAAAACTTTTACGTATGTTAACATCCTCATTTTTTACACTCTCTTGAGCTTCATCTAAGAGAAAAGCTAAGGAATCAATCCAGACTCCTTTCGTAAAGTTAGAAATCTAGTCTCAGACTTGGTATCTCTCCAAATATCCACTGTGTCAGATGACTGCACAAGGCATTTACAGAAGTCGAGGCCAGGAAGATGTAGCTACATTGAACAATTCTGTCTAAAGCTTCCTTGTGTTATGGTGGAAGAATAGCACCCCTCACAACCCTCTCAGCAATATATGTGATTTTAGAAATAAAGATTACATGGAAGTGTTACCACATGTGTTTTTAAACAGCATTGTATTTTTTAAAACACTGATAAGCACTTTTATTGATCAGGTTCTGCTTGGGCTTTTAAACTCTAGGCCAAAGGAAATTATAAACATTTTAAACCTACCCATCATCCACTCATCAAGAAATACAGAATATCAGGGCACCTTGTAAATCAGACTGAAATGAATCCCCAAAATTTTAATGAATGTACAAAAATTTATAAAGATAAACCCACACAGCTCAATGAAAAACACCTGTGTGTATGCCAGTCAACGAAAAATAATGACTTACAGTATTAGCATACACATCCTTCTGCTATTCAGAAATACTTGAAGAAGAATAAAAGGTTGAGATTAGTTGCCAGGAAGTCTGACCACTATGATATTAAAAACACAGCATCAAAATGTTTGATTCTGAGAGCTCAGGCTTCAAAGAACAAAATACCCTATTTGTTCCTGCTATAGTAAGCTTTGCTCTTCTGCAGTAATGCACACCTCTGTTTACATCATGTCTCTCCAGATCAGTTTCATCATTACCTATCTAGTACAACTATTTACCTGCCTTTAAACAACCAAATGACTGTGTCTGTTTAAGGAAGCCAAAGTGCAACTATGACATAGCAATTTTTCAGTTTATGAAGGCTTTTAGGTCATCTGATGGTTTCCAGAACTGCAAGCTGCACCTTGCTCAGAAGACAGTTGCCACCTGAAGTTAAGCACCTTGTGAACAAGAGCAATGCAATCTTCAGCAGTGCTGCATACTCCTAGATTCTTCCTTATGCCTGTGCTGTCTAGTGCACTTACTTTAAGGAGATTTTTTCACCAGCAGAAGATATGACTTGATGCCTCATAGTAAGAGGCGAAGTCTTACCAGAAATCCTGCTGCCTCCCATGGGGTCATGCTAACATCCTCTGCATTGAAAATGCAGTCAGAAACACAGCTTTAGACAGAAAAAATTAAGTATATGGGACATGTAGCATTAACACCTGATTGCAGACTCAGTTATCCCTACCTATTTCACTGGAAACCACAGAATTAGAAGAAAACCCAAAAAATCTCAAACAAACAAACAAAAAGTGCCTCATCACTGCAAATTCCAAACCCTTTCTTTACAGTAAAAGAGGTGGGAGATTTTTTTAGTATTTTTTTTAAACGTAATTTCAGACCAGTATCTGCCTAGCCATGGTCCAATATTACCATAAATTTTTTTCAGGTGATTCTCACAGGACTAACTTCTTGGTCAAATACTCTTTTTACTGGCATTCTCCCTCTTGGGCAATTCTTACATATCCACAACTATAATTTTCCATCAGGACTACTTAGCTAAGTATCCAGGCATTTGTTCAGTAGTTCAGTATTGCATCTCTCATGCCTCCTCACTCTATTTTGTAGATTTATTTCAGCTTCCTTTTACAAAGTGAAAAGGCTCTCTTAGGAAAGAGCCACATTCTCAAACAGATACATTTCTCATTTCCAACTGAGATGCATTCCCTCTTTGCTGTCATGCCTATAGCCTTGGTAGCAACTGAGACTGCAAAAACTTGTCCTCCTCTTTTCACATCCCTCAGTGCAAGTTTCAAAATCCAACTCTTCTGAATGATCAGTGCTTTCATCCTTCTCTTTCAAGTCCCTTCTCTAAAAATTCCTTAAAGGTTAGTAGGTAGCAGACTATGACATGTGCAAGATGTTATTATCTGCCCCGACATAAATTAATTAAATTACAATCACCAGTCAGGAAGACAGAACTCCACCACCACTCCACCACCTTTATAACTCTTGCAGCTATTTATAGTTGCATGTTTTTTGCATTCAATCCCTTTTCCTGCAGTAAACACCACAGATTTATCCCTTGCTCTCCTAACCTTCGTACCTCATATAGTCTGTACATACTTGTATTTCTTGATCTAGAATTTTCATGTTCATTCCTAAAAACTTTCCAAGTTCTGTACTCTTTTTATTTCTGTGCTCACTGGAAATATTTCATTGTAGCTACACAGCTGCAAAGCAGTACGGACTTTTAGGATGAGATGGCAGTTTATTTGTAAGGCAGAGATGCACTGATTATCTGCAAGTTATCCATTCAATACTGTCAACACATTTCTGTAAACTGATAAAATCATATCAAATAATGAACTGCAGAATATTAAGGAATTAAAGGCTTTAAAACTAACTGGCATTATTTGTTTTCTAACAGCATAGACCATTTGCTAGTGCAAAATGACTGACAGAAAACAGGTGAATAACTTGTTTTTCCATTGAATTCTGGTAGACCTCTAGCCAATATTACACAATTACCAGCCATCAGTACAGAATTGTACCACTGTCCTAGCCTGTAGTCTGTCCATAAATCCAGCTAATCATCCTGTTACACTGTTAGGCCACCCTCATGAGGGAAAAAAATGTTTCTTTCTTGCTTTCATCTTTGTTTTGCAGAAACGTTTTTGGGGAAGTTTTTCAAAATTTCACTTGAGGCCACCTAAGTCTATGCCCTGCAGGGTGTCAACAGAGCCCCAGAGAAAGATGGGATTTATGGTGCGCTAGGTCAGTGGTGCAGATCTATACGAATAGTGCCTAATACTGGCTAGAGAGGTCTACCAGAAGTGAAACCATTAAAAAACTATGATGTGAATACCTGGGGCAGTTAAGTGCTCAGGAAGCAAGCTAGAGAATAAATTTACAACATACTGGCTTTTTCACACTCATTTTTTGTGTGAACACTTAAAAAATTAAAGAACAATGTAATGTGGAGAGGGTATTGCAATTCCTACATTTTAGCCTCCTGCATAGCAATTTCCCAATGTAGATAAAAATATGCCTTGCCACCATTCTGAAAGTGTGGTTTAGTTGCCTTTGCAGACAAAGGGCAACTTGGGAAACAACATAACATTAAATATGAATTATAACCAATATGCATAATTTTGTGTCCTAATTTATGAAATCTGACAAAGCTATTAGCATTTCTCTAAGAATACCCTTAACCAAAGTCTTCCTTTTCACTGACCTCTCAATTGTATACTCATCTTTACTCACAATATTGACCCTGAACTAATAAACAGATTAATGGTGGGACTTCAAAAATATTTTTAACATGCTTATCTGCGTGTTGAGAAATTTCATGAGTGATCACAATCATTTAGAAGTGCTAAAATTTCCCTCTTTACAACATGTCCACAGCTGGTGCATAATTGCACTAGACATCATAAAACCACCTGTGCTACAATTACATCTACTTTGTTAAGAGTGCTTATTGTTTAAGCTTCACCATTTGTAATTCAATGGTACCTGACAATGGCACCCAAAACACTGTTCTTTATTCTTATTATCGCATAACCTTTCAATAATCCGAAGCCTTCATGGTTTGCACATTTTCATATTTGACTCCTTCCATTACTTCAGAAGACTCAAAGAATATACTGTGTTCTTGCTCAAAGTGAGTTTTGTTTTTAATTCCATGTTTGCTGTTGAAAACATCTTTAACTGTTTCTGTGAAAAGGCTAGTCATTTTTAGGACAAAGCAACAAGACTTTTATCTTTAAAGTAGTGTACAGCTGTATCAATTCTCCCATCCTGTTTTTGTAATTATTGATAACAGTATGTTGAGAAACATAACAATGAATTGGTGAAAAATTTAGCTCAGACTTTTTAAAATTTGTCGTTTAGTTTGACATCACAATTTAAAGTATGAGTAAAAATCTCCTACACTGCACTAAAAGTGGTAATGAGCTATATATGCCTTATACAGGCTTGAAGACTATTAAAAATAGATGTGACTTCACAATGTCAGTGAGCACACTGTGATATTCCATGAGAGTGCTCCTCACCTGCTGCAGTACATGTCTTTCTCTCAATGTCATTAATCTTCTGTGGAGCTCTACTAGTTCATCGAGATATGCCTAGAAACAAATCCCCCCCCATAAACAACTTGTTAATTAAGTCATAGCTATGTAGTTCAAAAATTTCAGATGTTTTCAGAACCAATAAAAATTGAACTTTTATTTTAAATCTTATTTGAGCTAAATTTTCTTATTAGTAGTCTGGCTTTGTCTAGCTTACTACAACCCAATAGAAATTTTTGTCAGCTTTTTTAGATTTTGCATGCAGATTAAAATCTTATGAGGTGCTGCAGAAGATAATCTCTATACTTCATCTGTGGCAAAAAGTGACAGACTAG